AAACCTTACAATTGGAATTAATATAGTATTGAATTACTGTATAGTAAGTACTGTGGTTAACTTGCTGTTTATCTATGTATAAGTATCAAGAATTTCTTAATGATTTTTTTTTCAATAAGGTTAGGCTACCTTAAATTGGAGATATAGGCAGCCGTGTATGAGCAGTGCGGGCAAAGGTCAGCTGAAAGGTAGTCAAATCCTGCAAACAGAGAAACTCGGCTAGAAAATGGTTGCGTATACAATTTTCTCCAAGAGGTCTACGGACTTTAGAACTTGAAGGAAGATGTAGCCAGACTAGTATCTAGCTCTCTATCAATGATACATAATTTTTTGGGAATCTTTTGGTACAAGAGACATCAAAGTCGAGATTAATTTACGAATTTGAGCACGTGGTCACTGTAGGCCAATACGAAGACCCCAGTTGATGGCGAAAGCATTGGGCTACGCATTGTGCAGAGATATTGTTCCGTGACAGTTTTGAACAATGGGGAGCACAATGCTCTCGCCATTGAAGGGGGCCTCCATGATAGAATTGACAGCGTGCCCGGATTGGTAGGCCAATTATTGGCAGCCATGTCATCAGCGCGGGCCGAGGTCCGCTGACAGTCAAATTGAAAATGTTGAACACAGAAAAATTATGTATTTCTAAGAAATTAACGTGGCTCAACAGAACGAATAATGTTTTTAACAATTAAATAAAAGGAAAATATACATCAATATGTCATTTCTTTTAAAGACGGACCGGTCATTAAGATTTTTAAAATTAATTACAAGATACTGTGTCCTCGCAATGACCCAAAATTATGAGAGCCGTGCATATCGTCTTTTAGTCGTTTAAATACCAAGTTAATAACTTAAGTTAAATATATTCAATAGAATGGTCTCCAACGAATTAAGCACCCGAGCGTAAAAGTGCGGGAAAATGGATTTTGAAGCGGTAGCAATTAGCTTAATGATTACAAGTGTTAAATGCATTATGTCTTAATAGTGAAAGGTAATCAAGTGTATAAATTGACATTTTGCTCAGAAGTACACTATGTGTATGTTTCTAAAAACGCAATTCCCTTCTCAATAGTGAAGTAAATTGGAATATAGCATTACTCTAATAATTGCAATTGGCATGAGAACAGATAAGATTTACGTACTTTGTTTATTTAACTGCACAACAATGTTACAGATAAAGTCTATAAGTGTGTCTATATCTACTCATTCTATTAATAACGCCATAGTTCTTTGGTCGTGCCCTTTTGGTAGACTTTGATTTTGTTGGATCTAGTACATAATGTGCATTTAGCCGCATTTTACTCAGTCGTCGAAAAAAACTCTTAAAATTAGTTGTATGTGTTTTAAAATGGCACTGTGTGGTAACTTCTCAAACCAAACTGACAATAATTACGATGAAGACATTTTTCGTCAGATCATTGTTTTCATAGTAATTGTATGTATTTGCATGCATTGATAACAATTGAGAGATTTTGGTGGTGGTATTTTACTATGCCGGGCGTTTGTCAGGCATAATAAGGCAAGAAATTGGCATAGGCAAGACATATTCATAATATAAAAGTTTGTTTTATGAATTTTTTTATATTTTTTTTTAAAACCTTTATCGAAAAAGGCTTCTTATAATTTCTGGTCAATTTGTGCGGTTATGCCTCTGTACAGGCTGGATAAAAACCCGAAACCGAAATATTATTGCTAATTGGAAAAGAAGTAGGGCTTATGTGAATCAACGGGAGATATCCTCTGTTAGGAGAGATATCCTCCAATGACACCCTGATCATGTCATTACATTCACGGTTGACTGAGCAGTGACCAATTTTATAAAAGGGTCTAGGCTATTCAGAGAATTGCGCCACTTTTCAAATGTGGTTTTTGTGGCGTCATGTGTCACATTTGTCAGAGAGAAAGGCTATGGTTGCCAATCAAGGCAGGTGGGGGGAAAAAGAGAATTCACCATGAAAAGTGGCGCAATTTTCTAAATAGACCCTTTCATAAAATTGGTCACTGCTCAGTCAACCGTGAATGTAAGGACATGATCATTTTAAAGAGGAGATTCAACCCTAACAGAGGATGGCTTCCTTTGATTCACATTTTTGTGCCCTACTTCTGTTCCAATTAGCAATAATATCTCGGTTTCGTGGTTTTTTTTTATCCACCCTGCACATTTATGAAATTTTAATTGTGCTTTTGAGATGAACGTTTGTATAAGAGTGTAGAGTGCTGTGGCCTCGTGGTTAAGGGCACTGGATTTGTGGTCTGCGGGTAAAGCTGGGTGTTGTGGGTTCGAGTCCAGCCGGGATCATGGTGCATGTGCCCTTGAGCAAGGCACTTTGTCACTCATTGCTTCTCTCCACCCAGGAGTAAATGGGTACCTGTGAGGGCAGAGATGGTTATTTGATTGAATTAGCTTGCTTGCGCCTAACAGGCAGCATCGAGCTGTATACTCTCCAGGGAGCTGAGATGGTATTTGGAATGTTTAATTGGCCCAATGATCAGGGGTAATAATAATAATACTGTAAGCGTTGTGATAGTTTACTAATAAGAGCGTTCTTAAATGCTGATTATTATTATTATTATTATTTTGAGATTAACGTTTGTATAAGATCATTGGTCACCAGAAATAGAACCACTTGAAGAAACATCCGAAAAAATTATTTGCTCTTTGTGCTTTCCTTTTCTGACTTTTGTTTTGGTTGTATTTATTCATGTAATTTTGTGTTTTGCCATTGTGCAGGAGATTTAAATCAATCATTCATTGGCGGATCCAGCGGGGGGCGCAGGGGGCGCACGCCCCCCCCCCCCCCGGCAAATATTTTAAAATGCATACTATCGGTGAAAAATGGACAGTGATCCGACGGTTTGAGGAAGAACAATCGTTCAAAAGGCGTGGCAATTTTCACGCACCTTCTAAGACTTGATGCGCGGGTTACGATCGGGCCGCACGATACGCGGATAAAACCAATGTAAAACAAACTGTAGTGGAGTCTCATTTCGCGTATCGTTTTAGCGTGTCATTTATACGACCATGAGACTGCACGTGGACAACTGCTGCGCTTATGAAGTCAAACCGTGTTCATGCTCCGGGCTTGGTGACTAAACAAAATCAAACAATGGCCTCTGTATTTAAAATGTATTAAAACTGTATTAAAATGTATCGCAGGTCCTGGACCCTTCATTACAATCCTAGCCCCCCCCCCCCCCCCGGCAAATGGCAGTCTGGATCCGCCCCTGATCATTGATAATTTTTGTCGTCACCAAATTACAAAATCCCACAGTAGCAAAGTGGAAAAGCACATGTAGTGTGACCCGCCAGTGCAGAGTAAAAAAAAACCTGGAGCAGAAAAGCAGAAATGTAAACAAAATATATATTTTGGCAAAACGTTCAATCTGCTTTTCAGGTAGCAGAAAAGTAGAAAAATGCATTGCACACAAACAAATTTAACGCTGTTTTTCAGATTTTCCGTTAGCAGAAAAGCAGATGACCACTTTTGAATGTTCATAAGCATGGGCGTCGCTGGGAGGGGGGGGGGCAGGGGCGCTTGCCCCCTCTCCCCCCGGAAAGGGGGCATTTGATCAATCCCACCACCACCTCCCCCCCCCCCCCCCACCTTAATTTTTGTGGTGAGAAACTATAAAATGAAAACAACTTGCCCTGTTGATTGTCTACGGACAAGGCAACTGGCTTGTCTGCCTTCCAAAGTGTTTCAAGTTTATACTTTGTGTGTCCATGCAGAATCTTGTTTAATAATGTTCAGTTTCTTGTATAAATATCTGCGAGTTAATGATCAAAAATAGTCTTTCATTCCAAAAAATTAACACAAATGTTACATACGTTAGGAAGATAGTAAATTTTAAGCTAAGATGTGTCTAATGTACCGATCTGCAGAATATTATCATGTCTGAAAAATCGTTAAAAAGATGGACTTTTTCTTTGAAATTAAATCTCAACTAAACACATAGATGGTTTTTATCAAGAATTGAGCGGTAAAGGTTAAATTTTTGTGATCCTTTGTTCTGACAAAATTATTCATAACTTAACTGGGCTTTGTCTAAAGAAATAGTTGTCGACCCGACCACTCTGCGTTTGTAACTCAACCAACGCCTAGACCTGTAGTTCTAAGTTGGATCATGAATAGAACCCTCTGGTGATGTTGCGTTGTAAAATAATAATTAAACAGCGCCGACATTTTTGTCCGTCCAAACTGGTGTATTGCTAGAAAAATAGCAATTTAGAAAAGGAATCAATTTTTTTCGGCATGAAATCTTAAATAACGTGGGAAATGATTCTTGGATATGACTTTTTTTTTAATAAACCAGTGGCGTAACCGTAGGGTTAAACTTGGGAGGGGGCACCTTGGGGTACTTGAATTTCAAATTTTTTTTTGGTGGGTGGCTCTAAAGTCAAATATATTTCTGTTAAACAGAGAGGGGGAACGGGGGACGGACACGGTGGGGGGGGGGGGGGGGGGGGTAGGGGGGGGCACATGTCCCCTTCCGGAATGCCCCGCAGGCGCGGTTGTAGAGCCAATATTTTTTTTGGGGGGGGGGGGCTAGCAGGATGGATCCAGATTTTTTTTCAGGGCGGCGTGCTGAAATGTAGACCGGTTATTTTCTCAAGACACTTAGGCCTCCAAAAATCAATAGAAGAGGGCAAGGGGCTCATGCCATATTTTCAGTGGGGAGCGCTGGTAGAATCCCACAATCAGGCACACTATATTAACTAAAAGTGAACAAATGCACTCTATCTTCTCACGACTATTTATTTAGGGGTAGACCGTTCGCATGTACGTCACATTCTTACATTTTGCTATTGAATTTTTTTTTAATGAATTTTTTTAGGGGGGGGGGGGGGGGGCTAGACAAAATTTGAGGGGGGGGGGGGCTAAAGTCACCAGGTCCCCCGGTAGAACCGCCACTGATGCCCCGTAGTTATGCCACTGTTTTAATATACCCCCTTCCCCCTCCCCCAACCAAATAACTAATTTTGCTCTCATGGGGGCGACACACACGCATCACTTCAGAATCTAAAATGGCGGCCCCCTTGGAAGGAATTTTGCACAAACTGCTTGTGCCAAATAGCTCCGTAATTCAAGAGGTGAGTATCAATGGCAGGAAAAAACATAAGAGCTGTGAAACATTTTTCTTTTAGAATATTCTTGGGAAAGACTGTTGCATCCTGGGCACAATTGCAGAATACCCCGCCAGTCGCCACTCGATCTACTGTATCCACCTCGCGACCGTAGTCGTCATTGTCGTACATTAATAACATGTCGTAGCCGGCTACGAGGTCACGGTTGGTTGACCTTAATAAATATTCTCAGCTTGTATGAATTATGCGTCATGCTCCATTGCACTCCCACTTCGTAACCGCGTAGCCGCCAACAGGGTAGTTGGTTTGGACTTAAAAAAATTACAGCAACTCCCATTCCTTTTGTGATGCTTCGTTCTCAAGCATATTCAAGGGGACTCCCACTCTGTATCCGCGTAGCCGCCAACAGGGTGGTTGGTTTGGACTTTTTCAGCAACTCCCATTCCTTTTGTGTTGCTTCTTTCTCAAATAATGGACCCCCACTCAGTATCCGCGAAGCTGGCATGCACTTGAATTGTTTCTTTTCCAGTGATTCCAACCTCGTAGCCAGAGAATTTAGGGGTGTATTTCCGAGTGGTGGGGTATTCTGCAATTGGTAATCCTTATCTTTAGGACACCTCTATTTTTACGAGTTCTGTTCAAAACTGACTTTTGCATGTGACTGTCCAGTACCGAGGTGACTTTTGCAGGCTAAAGCAGTCTTTTTTCCTCAGATAAACTCATGTTAGTTGTCATTTTGAAGAGTCACTTTGGCACTGGACAGTCATCTGCAAAAGTCAGTTTTGAACAGAACTCGTAAAAAATAGCATGAATAGAGGTGTCCTAAAAGTAAGGATTACCCTGCAATTACTCCACATCCTGACTCCACTTGTTATTAATAATTGGTCAGTCACTAGCACTAGCAGCACTGCCTGGTCCGGCTCTGTAGACTCTAGTCCGAGTAACCGGACCCAAATTCCGAGCAACACGATTCTGTCACTGGCCAAAAAAACAACATTTTCCAACAAAAACATCAGAGTTCACCCTCAAAACGGCCTCCAAATTACTAGATATGCCACCTGAGGTACAAGAACGTGGAAGACATCGATGATTAAGATGGGAGTTGCTTGTACTGAAGTTTACTTACAATCCGGATGGAAAGTGAAATTTCCCGTTCAATTCCAAGAGCTCCCCTCGCGATCGTGAACATGTTAAATTTCCGACTTGTGTTAACGTTTTTACGATGCGATGTTGTCTTCATGCCCAGCGTTCATTCGATAGTCCCCGTATCCCGAGTGCGATTCCGTTACCGAGCACGCACAATGCATCGATTATGATAATGAGTAGACTGGATCACGTTTGTAAACACAAGTGCATTTCGAACGATAATACCAAGTCGGGAACTACGTCAGCTTTTATTTGCGGAAATCCGTTCAAGCTAGTTCCCGACTGCCTTTTATCATTCGAAATGCACTTGTGTTTACAAATGTGATCCAGCCTACTCATTATCATAATCGATGCATCGCGTACGCTCGGTAACGGAATCGCAATCGGGATACGGGGATTATCGAATGAGCACTGGGCATGAAGACCACATCGCGTTGTTCAAACATTAACACGAGTCGGAAATTTAACGTGTTCACAATCGCGAGGTGAGCTCTCGGAATTGAACGGGAAATTTCACTTTTCATCCGGATCGTAAGTAAACTTCAGTACAACTATTTTAATTATCGATGTCTACTTGTACCTCAGGTGGCGTATCTAGTAATTTGGAGACCATTTTGAAGGTGAAATCTGATGTTTTTGTTGGAAAATGTTGGTTTTTGGGCCAGTGACAGAATTGTGTTGCTCGGCATACATGTATAACCATTAGCTTGGACCCTACTATCGCCAGACCATGTCCGAATGTTAAAAAAGCCGATAAGTTGGGTCCAAGTTACTCGGACTAGCAGCACTGAAAGTGCAAAACTCCTGTTGAAAACTCAGAAAAGATTTGGGAAAGAATGTTGCAACCTGACGTCACTTGTTGTGCACAAAGTCTATGGAGAGTCAAAGACAATTTTCTAAGTATTTAGAAAATGTTTCTCAGTCCCAAATTCATGTCTTATTATTTTTGCAACAATGACTGACCTTCATTGAGGTGATAAATGAACATGGCGATCGTGAAGTGTACGGCCCCTGTTTTGTTTTGATCGAATTAGAGTCAAAAATGTTTTTCATTGCTCAAAAATCACCTTTACAATCTAAAGCAGACTTTTCTCAATTCTAATTACACCCGTTTTGCAATTTTGAAAAGATTCACAATTTTCCTGCATGGTTTGTGCCTTGCAATTCAGCACGCCCTGCTTGCGGTACATCACGTGGTGATTGCCATCTTTATTTTCTGGTCGCGTGTTGTCGCCGCGCTTTCATCATCATTTGGGCTCAAATTTCCCTCAAAAAATGAAACCCTGCCCTTTATCTATGACAAACTATTGAGAATGTCGCCAACTACATGTAGTTTGGTAGGTCCAATAATTTTAAATGGGATTTTGTTCCCTTATACTGGAACCGGGCCCTACACTACATGATCGCCATGAACATGATGAAGAAAAAGAAGTGTCAGGTTGCAGAATTCTTTCCAAAATTTGAATCTTGGACTGGGATTTTCAATTTTGTTAGAAAATACTTTGAAAATGCACTCAACTCTCCATAGACTTTGTACCCAACAAAAGAAGTGGCGTCTGGATACTACTACGGTTGTACATTCTTTCTTGTAACTTAACAATAACAACATACTTAAGTCTAGCCCCATAAATGTGGCAAATTTACTGGACTACCTCCGTAAATAAAGGCCACACTACCACCATGTACAAAAACATGTCGAACTTTGTCAAATTTTGATTTTCACATTTAGGCTTTTTGTAGTTTATTTTTGCTTTAGAAGCATACTCACCCTCTTTATAGGTTAATTAATCAGAAAGTGCTGCCTTTTTCAGATGTCTAATTTTCGTGCAATTTCATGTTGAAATTTTGATACGCAAACGTGTGCAAACGAATCTGAAAATTTCACGAAAAATAGACATCTGAAAAAGGCAGCACTTTCTGATCAGCCTATATAGAGGGTGAGTTAGTCCGAAAATTTGGGACTCTCAATACTGTGTATGAGAGTCCCAAAACTTAAGGTATTGAAAACATGCAAAACAAGAAAATAGACTGGCACCTATAACAACCAGTCCAACACAGCTTCAGTACTGCATCAATCAACCATGCCAAAAGAATTTAAGAAACATGTGGCATGAAGCGGGAACTGTCTCAACTTACTACACATTTCTCCATAGTAAAGCCACCAGACTATTGACACTGAATGAAGAGGTCAGTCTTTCCAAATAGTTGGACCATGGTTGGACATGTACCAGTCTAGTCTTTAGCCCCATTTTGGAATCACTTGACTTCCCTCTCATGTGCAAAATATTGAAGAAAAGTCCTTTAAAAATTGAATTCGGTCTGCAAACTTGGTTGGTGGAATACTGAAGACATTTTCTTTGCCCCAGTGGAATTTTTGGAGAAATTTGCTGGCTAAACTGTGAGTAAAGTGGGCCTGATTTAGTTTTGCACGTTAGTATGCTTCTAAAGCAAAACTAAACTACAAACTAAGCCTAAATGTGAAAATCAAAATTTGACAAAGTTCTACATGTTTTTGTACATGTTCCAAGTTTGGCCTTTATAAATTTACGGAGGTAGTCCAGTAAATTGGCCCATTTATGGAGCTAGCTTATGTCCTATTCTTGTTTGAAATGTAGAAGCTATTTAAACATATTAAAATAGGAAAAATGTTGAAGTTTCATTTCTAAAGTAATTCCTTGAACATGTCAAGATATAAGCCCACTGATAATTCTAATCGCACTGTGTGAGATCTGCTTGCCGACAATGGCCGAAGAGATAAACAAAGTATGGGCGACGTGGTAACCAAACCGCATTCTGTAATTATTCATCTTATGAAAAGGAGATGGAAATCGTTGGCACCAAAGTTGGAGCATACAAAACATCTTAAACCATGGTGCCGTAAAAAAAAAAAATCTAAATTTTGCATATTCTTCAATAATGTTCAAAACAAGAACTTTTCTTTGATTTTAGTGGTCCCTTGCTATGATTTTGCAAAATAAATCAACTGCAAACGTGCAATTGTGGGATAGCAGGGTACCAATGAAATCAAGGAAAATGTCTTGTTTTGAGCATAAGAGTCCAGTATTTTGAACCACATTGATGGGACTAGGATCATCTCAACTATAGTTGGGTAATGTTATTAATTTTCCCCCGTAGGGTACTCGAGAATTGAAGCAAGCTCTGAAGGATCCTAACATTGTCCCTGGACTCTTTGCAGTGCTGACCAGCTCCGACAACCCCCAGGTAAAAGCACCAAATTTGAAGATTTCACCGTTTTACAGATATGCCACTTTTCAGGTTTTAATCTGAATTCCGGGGTTTTTTCTTCAAAAAATGTGACAAATTAAAAGTGCTGGATTTGGTCTGAAACATCCAGAAAACACATTTTTGAAAGGGGGTAAGGGCAGTTTCAGGCTTTTGGTAGTGTTTCAGGCTTTTTATTGAAATATTTATGGCATCTCAGGTTTAAAGAAACTAACATGTCAGTTTGAATTTTTACCATATTTGAATGTACGTACACTGCACTTTGCGATCCAAAATGTCCATATCATCCGATAAGCATGTCAAAGTATGAGTAAGTTTTCGTGCTAATTAAGGCCCCTTCAGATATCAAGAATTGAAGATTCATTGTGACGTTCGCCGTTACCCTAGCAAATTTGCTTTGCCCTGAATCTTGTGTGAGGTATTAACCGGACTAAAGAGAGGCCATTATTGCAGTGCATGATGGGAAAAAAGTTAAAACATTGCTCAACAGTTTCCATTTTGCCTGAGGCAGCACTAGCAGTATGTACTCATTTTCCCACAAATTAAGTTAAACATTTTTGTGTGAATAATGATGGTTACTACATACGAGACTTCTAAATCCGTTCGTGTTTGTGTTGAACTGGAACTATAAACGATGAAAGAAAGCAGGATAATATATGCAGGAAATCGACTGTGAAGTTGAGGCAACACTTGCTGGTGTCCTGCTATTTGAATCGTTCCTACTGGTGTTGATAAATTATCTGTGTTTGAACTCCACAGATACGGCAGCTTTCCGCTGTGCTTCTTCGGCGTCGAGTTGTTAAGCAATGGACCAAATTACCTCCGGATGTCGGCCACAAGTAGGTTCTTTTCAAAAAAAGGGGGAGGGGGAATTTAGAGATGAAGGAAAATTAATAATAAAAACACGCTGTAGCAAGCGTTAAAAAGGCTCAAATTGCCAGTAAAATTCAACCAGACGACAAGGCCATTATCTTAAAAAGTGTTATCAGACTAGAAGTGATTTTGAAAGACTTCTGATAAACTGAGAAATAAAACATTATTTATAGTTTGATACAAAAATGTTTAGTTGAAGTGATTACAGCCATGTTATGGACAAGAACATTTTTCTTTAAACTTGCCATTAATGATGAACGTTTTATGCTGTTTTCCTTTGCAGTCTGAAGCAGATATCATTGCAAGTCCTTCTTAGAGAAACAGAGTAAGTACATTGTACACGGAGGTCTTCCAGAACTCCAGACAAAATTTGTCTGTTGAGACCAAATGTAGAGAACTGTATTCCTGAGTGTTTTTCCCTTTTAAATGTATTTGTTCGCATGTAATTATAGCAACATGTAAATTGAAGTCGGTAAGCTGGCTTTTAAAATGGTCTCTTTTGAGATCAAATTGCATGTAATTATTACTTCTATGTGGAAAGCTGTCGCCTTGGATTCGTGGTCTGTGGGTAAAGCTGCAGGTTGTGGGTTCAAGTCCAGCCTGGGGTCAAGGTGCGTGTGCCCGTGGGCAAGGCACTTTGGCACTCATTGCTTCTCTCCACCCAGGAGTAAATGGGTGCTTGTCAAGGCAGAGATGGTTTGTGATTGATTATAGCTTCCTGTGCCTAACAGGCAGCATCGTGCTGTATACTCCCCAGGGAGCTGTGATGGTGTTAGGAATTTTTCATGGGCCCAATGAGCAGGGGTAATAATGTAGCGCCTTGAGCACCAGTCCTGGTTGATACGTGCGCTTTATAGATACCCAC